TACGACCAAGTTTCGAAAACAAAGTCAAGTCACTTCTATATAATTTATTTAATATTTCTCAAAGAATCCTGATGTAGTCTTTCTGAGTAATAAAAAAATAATCGAAATTAAAATTTTTTGTGTTAGCAAAAATATTCCTAATCAGTGTTAACTTGAAGTCATTCATAGTCTTTAGTTCTAACAAATTACAGCACCTTAATGGTAGTAGAGTAGCCACAATATTGTTTCTAAGTAAATGGATTGAATAGTGTTGGTTCGACCTTGTTTTCGCAACTTGGTCACATCGTCAGGGAGACGTCTTACCAGCATCATAGTTGGCATCGTCACTAAGAGGCTTTAACACAGAGCTACAACTTATTGACAAATGAGGTCAATCTACTTTATCAATTTTCTGTTCAATTGTTATGGCATTTCTCCCTGCCCTTGCCACTACTGCTTAATCTCTGTTTCTCAACCCCTCTTCACATGGCCTAATAACTTATTCACATCAACCTGTCTTCGTTTGCTCCAATTTCGTCTAGCCGTGTCACCTCAAGTGGACGCAGTAGAGCGTAATCGCCCTTACCACCGATTTAAGATGCCATTCTTAGGGCTTCTGGGAGCCAAACAGCATTTCTATTTAGCCCTTTTCCATTCAGCTTGTCAACTGTTCTATAATTTCAACGTAACTTTGATGAATACTTGATCTATGCCGAATACAAAAACAAAACTGTCCAATGACAAATGATTTTATTTTCTCTCGTCTATGCTCCATTGAATAATCTTTCTTCATTAATGTGATCTTATTTCCCCCTTTGTATCTTAAAAATGGGTCACTCACTCTTCTAACTATATTTTTTTCTATATTTATATCTTTTTCCATTTTCATCACTCGTTTCTGGCCTCGCATTTTTGTCCATCCTTGCGAAAGCTTATTATTATATGATCGCACTCACTCTGATATATTATAATCGGCTCATTTCTGTCTCGCATTCACTTCTGCTAGATCAGAATGATTTATTTTATCCTTACTATCTCTTCATGTCGCTTCCATTGTTTATATTATGACTGATTAATTTCTTATTTTCGATGATCTTACTAGTATCTGTTTTAATTGCTTACTGTCATACTGAATATTTCTTTCTTGGTCCTTCGTTTAAGAGTTAGGTAGCATTATTTATTTTTTGGAGCTCATGCACTACCAGCTCTATAGCGCTATAGACAGACAATCTTTCAGTATATCTTCTTTGTACTTGTAGATACCTCTTTATTTATTGTATAATCCAATTGTTCTGTATAAGATTAAAAAAGAATGTTATCAAACTACAGCTAATTGCTTTCAGCTTCATATTTTCGTTTACACCAATTACTACATTTCTAGAGGAGATTTTACGAAATTGTTCACATATTTGGAAATAGCCTAATTTTCAGTTTTGTTTTGACTGATGATATCGAGCAAGCGACTGAAATGTCTAAGATTTTTATCATTTTTATTTCATCCACCATCTCAGTAAATACAATATGAAGCCTTTTTCATTTCTACTGTATTCGTCCTTCAGATTCTAGTATAATCGCTCTACAAGCCTGTGCTAAGGTGACATTAATTTTTAAATGTTATCTCGACATTTTATCTCTGATATGCCATGTAATAAATTACTTTATCTCTTTTTCGTATGAGTGCTAGATCTGATATTTCTACATAATTTGATTATCCATTTGCACCTTATTTTGCTTTTTGGCTGACAACAGTATTATTGCTTCGGGCGCAGCAGCTGAGTTGGCTAAAGCCGATCTACTCCAGGGGGAGACAATTAATTGCTGGACAGAGTTGAACTCCGCGGTTTCCAGTAGCGGGTCTTCCATGCATCTCACCACCACTAACACCACTGACTCTGCCTCCTCCAGTATCTCTGCTGCAATACATGCTTTCAACTCAAATATACATCCATTGCTCGCCTTCCCCAGTTTAGTAGCCTATCCGCGCAAGGCAATTCTTTGTACACGACATTTAATCGCTGTTGCTCATCTTGAGGTGCTCTCGGCCATGTCTTTCTCAAATGGCACTGGCTTTGAAGCTACAGTATCAGGCAAGAGCAATTCTCAGACTGCCGATTCTGAGTCACAGCACTTGCTGCGTGCACTGGAGATGTGCTCGCGCGCCACCGAACAACTTCGCCAGGCCAGTCGGCGTCTGCGGCGCGTTGAAGAGCGTCTGGCTCGACGTCGCGAAGCTGCCATTGGTCGGCGGAAAGGCAAGGCCGTTCGAAGGAAACGCGGTAGACCGACAGAGGCTAGCGAAAGTCATGGACCAGATGCTCCTGAGACTGATCGAGAGATAGAGGCTTCTGTCACGGAGGCGGAAACAGTGGCAGCTTCCGCTGCTGCTGAAGCAGCTACTGCTACAACCCGCAGCTGGTCAAGCCTTTGGTTTGCGGCACTTGCGCGTGTGAAAGCGGGTCTTGCATCAGCCGAATATGCTATTCACGGGGATGCTGCTATTCGCATAAGAAAAGAGGTTACTTCACATTAATAAGCATACATAATCCATTGGATAATTATTGCTCAGCAAAAAATACATGGATGGGCAATCACAAATATATTTTTAGATTAAACTTGTAGGACGATTGCCCGTATGTTCAGTTTAATTTTGCTTTAATCGAAGATATGAATACCAAGATGGTGTGGCCTTTTGTGTGGTCACAGTCTCCTTTCGTTGTATACAAGTTGTTTGACCTTGTTTTCGCAGAATGGTCATATTGGTAGGAAGACATAGAGGAACGCACCTAATCCGGTGTCCATTGTATGCATGATAATTTCCTATGTCAGATCGTGGACCTGGTACATTCATAGACGTTTCGCCAGCATCGTAGTCGGCATCATCAGTGCGTTTTGCCAGTCTTAGCACCATACTACAACTCGTCAAAAGAGACAAGTGAAGCCGATCATTTAACCAAATGTATGCTAAACAGTTGTGGTATCTCTCCTATATCCTCGTATCACGCCTTCACTGTTACATTTTTTACCGTGCTTTGATCGGCATTCATGAGAACCTTCCACACTCCACGCTTGTGTTTTCACCCCCCATCCTCACCATTGTGCTGGGAATGTTGATCAGACTCTGCCATATTGTTACGTAGTCCTCCTTCCCTAGGTCTTACCACAGTCTCTCTCTTGCCCCGTAAGATCC